TCACACCAACCCGAGCGAGGAGGATATCAAGACGGTTGAGACACGTGGGAGTTCACAACGGAGCAGTTGAGGAAGCGGTTCTACCTAGCGTGAAGACTATGAAGCTGCTTTTCGAATAAAAGCAGTGGAGCAAGGAGAAAGAGTGGACAACCAAAAATCAACACAGATCAACTATGTTCAAACTTTACCTTTTCTCTGTAACTCCTTCGCGGAGCTCTCCTTTCAGGAAGGATCTCCATAGTTGTAGTCTTAGTTGTAGTCGCGGAGCTCTCCACAGGAATCTCCATAGGAGTAGTGGTAACGTAGATTCCTCAAAAACTCAAACACCCTCGTTCGAACGTAGTTTGGAGAGGTGCGAACCGTAGTAACGGTTGCGTTGGTTAGAAGTCAGAGGTGCATCGATCAGATCAACATCGCTCGGTGGTGGATATTTGACGGTCACGTTGATTTCACCATTCAGAGGTGCATCGATCAAATCAACATCGCACGACGGTGGATATTTGACGATCGTCATCGTTTTCAGAAGTCAGAGTTGCACCGATCAAATCAACGGCACCGACATTCGGCGGTGGATATTTGACGGTCATCTCGATTCCAGCTATCAGCAGTGCAGTCGATCAGCGGCACCGCAAGAGTTTCCATCGCGAAATATCAAATCAACATCACCGGAAACCAAATTCGGCACCGGCGGTGGTATTTGGTTTTCTAGGGAAACACTAGTACACCTACAGAGTGGGAGAATCATGTCGCTACAATAGTACTCAATGAAGAGCAAGACAATAACACTAATTTGCAATGCTGTCAAAGCCGACCCGAGCCGGTCGGTCGGACCGGTAAAACCGGAACCCGGACGCTAGCTCGGGTCGGAACTCTCCAATAGCCGTAACGGCCAGAAAGATCGGTTTTTGAGCGGCCAAAATGGTTAACCATTCGAGCCGCTCGAACCGTCTGACCGGTTTTTGAACTTTGACCGTTTGGAAATAAAAAAAATTAAACAAAAAAATTATGGGTTCAATCTGCCGATTTCCCGAGGACACACCATTGCCGGCGAACCCATCGTCTTCTGGGAAACCCATCGTCTTCTGGAGGAGGAGAAGAATGGAGGGAGGAAACCCGGATTCTGATCGCCGAGTTGCCGCCGATTAATGGGGAGGTGAGATTGGCGGATCTTTTGAAGCGGGAGTGGATTAGGTCGGACACTGTTTTGGATGAGGACGATGACAGTGACGATGAGAATGGCGTTGCCGTGGGAGAGAGAAGAGAAAGAGAAGGAGATGCAGGGAAGGGAGGAAGATGGAGGGAGGGAAAGGAAGAGGAGACCGAAGGATGGGTGGGGGGTGGGGGAAGGCTGAGAAGGATGGGTGGGGGAAGCGGCTGCGCCTGGGTGGGTGGGGGTAGGGTTTGTTGTCTTAGTTAATATATATATATGGTAAACTTACTAATAGGTACTTGAAAGGTAAATTTTGTTTTAGTCATTAAACTATTAAATTGCTACATTATGTGTCTTTTACTTATGATATTATTATTTATAAGCTACCGGTTCTCAAACGGTTTTTAAACGGTCTAATGCCGGCTGGACCACTAATAACCGAGCCGTTCACGTTACCGGGTCATATTCCGGCTCGGTTTTGACAGCATTGCTAATTTGGCTCAAATATTCTAATCAAGTAAAGATTTTTGAGTTTTTTTCGTTCCCCTAATAGGTACCTATTCATTAGCCAGCGAATTCATTTTTTTATGGTTTGCTTCAATTTATTGCAAGATATGTTTCCTCAATTCGTATTCGGCTACTTAGATGTTCCAATTCGTGGAGCCTCTTACAATGTTTGATTTTACCATATGTTACTTTTCAATCACATCGAGCTAGGTATGTCGTATTTTGAGTTTATACTCCTTACCTGTTAGCTTAATTTATTGGATTGTATCCTGTTATATCATTCGGTTCATGGGACACGCAACGAGCGGGCTTATCTAGTTAATTAATTAATTAATATATAAAAGCCTAACATTTGAGTTACTATTCATTAGTGGCTCTCAAACTCCTGCAAGTGCAAGTGGGAAAGTTTCAAGTATCTCTTTTACCACACTCTCTCATTCTATAACATATGTGTTCATCTATTGTTCGTCGGACCTACATCTATTGCCCATTAGATTTTCCATTGTAGTTATTGTCTACTTAAGTTTTCATATCTTTAGGTTTTTTTGTATGATCTTCTACCCTTTTTTTTTTTTTTTGACAAGTTGATTCATTAAGTAGCAAATGGGTCAAGCCCAGAAGAAAAGATCAAAAGAGACATTACAACAAAAGAAAGGAAAAATCAGAATCAAAGCCCAACTCCCATACAACCGGTCGGAAACCCAAAAGGGCCCAGACCCGGGAGCCCAACCAAGCAATCCAATCTCCAAACCCTAGCTGTGATGCTCCCCCCATGGCACCCACCGCCGTCGGATCACCAAACAACATCACCTCCACCAGACGCCAACCATGATGGAAAATGAGGCGCTGGAAAACCCAAATCCGGACCGAGGGAGGCTGAGACGCCCGCAGCCACCTCTTGCCAACCTTCGCCGGACCAAACAACATCTCCCCAACGAACAAAGCATCGAAAGAGAACAACGTGTTGAACGGACGATCGATGACAGCGCCATACGAATGATCTTCTATCTCCAAAAACCTCAAGTCGAGTCCAAGCCAGCAACAGCGGCCACATCTCCGATTCGCCCAGATCTGCAAGGCAAAACAAGAAGGTGGACGAAGGGATCGAGAAAGAGGAGACAAGCCATATTCAGCCGAATCTAACCTCCTTACTACTTAGCACGAGACATCTCCATATCTGAACAAAAAGATCAGAGGCACAAAAAATCAACCCACACAGGGGGAGGAAACAACCATAGAGGTAAAGGAAAAAGCCAACAACAGACAGAAAAACCAAACGAAAGAAAGGAAGAGCAGAAAGCTGAAAAGGAAACCGAGAAAAACGGACACAGGGGACGATTTTTGGGCTGTCGCCGGTCACCAAATGGTGCCTGCGGCGCCCGTCGAAGATCAAGAGAGAAGGGGTTTTAGAGAGAGGGCGAAGGAAACCAAGTCTCTCTTTTACCTCACTCTCTCATTCTATATCATATGTGTTCATTTATTATCCGTCGGGTGTACATCTATTGCCCATTAGATTTCCCATAGTAGTTATTGTCTACTTAGGTTTTCATATCTTTAGGTTTTTGTCTATGATCTTCTACCCAAATCATCATCTTGGCCCATCAATTCGCAACCCATCTCGAAACACTATCAACGAAATCAATGAATAATGTATGCCACGCTCGCTACTGAAGATCCATATTATATATTATGCACAATCCTCGCCTTCGCCCACTAATTCACAACCCGTCTCCAAACATTGTTGGTGGAATCCTAATTTGTACCCATCCACTGTGCCCCTAGACTACTACCGAAAAATGAATCATAATTTTTACCCATTCACCGCTCCAAAGACTACTACCGAAAAAATTAATACTAAATATGTTATGTGTTGTCGAGTTTTGTATTGGGATTGAGTTTCCTATTCTTTAGAGTTTTCTTATTTCTCTTTTTTCTTTTGGTTAAGCATGACAATTAAACTCAAACTCATTGGTATCCAACTTAATTAGACCAGGTCAAAGCGAGTTGAACCCAACATTAATATTTTTAAAATTTTCTTTTTATTCTTTTGTTGAGAATGACAATTGGACTCAAACTCTAGGTATAGGCGAGTTTTGTATCAAGAGCGAGTTTTAGCCGCTTTTGTACTTGGCATGTTAGGTCGAGTGTGAATTTGTTAAGAACTTGATTCGATCGGGTCAAAGCGACCTAAACATGGTGTTGACGAGTTTTAGATCGGGAGTGAGTTTTGTTCGCTTTAATGTTTTTTATTTCTCATTTTCCTTTTGGTTAAGAATGACAATTGAAACCAGACCTGGTGCTAACGAGTTTTGTATCGAGAGTGCGTTTTACTTGCTTTTAGAATTGGCATGTCGAGCCGAGTGTGAATTGTTAAAAACTCGGTTCAAACCAGTCAAGACGAGTTGAGCTCGGTGTGCAGAGTTTTTGGTAGGGAGTGATTTTTATCCGCTTTAGTGTTTTTTTATTTATCTTTTACCTTTTGGTTGAGCACCCAAACCTATAGGTATCCAGCCTATTCAACCCTATCAAAACAACTTGAACCCGATGTTTACAAGTTTTCAGGCGGGAGTGAATTTTATTTTCTTTTGTAATTGACGGGTTGGGTGGGTTGTGAAACTTTTACAAACTCAGTTCAACCCGATCAAAGAAAGTTGAACATGACGTTGCCGAGTTTTAAATCGTGAGCGTGTTTTATGTGCTTTATTGTTTGTTAATTTCCCTTTTTCTTTTTGGTCTTCCAAAGAACCGGGCTTTTTTCGAATAAGCCAATTCATTGAGAATGAATTTGAACCCAAATTCATGGGTAGTCAACCTAATTCAATCTGGCCAAAGTGAGTTGAACCTCCTCAAAAGGAAAATCAAGATGAACTTAAAAAAAATAAAGTAAAAACAATACAAACTAAAAATAATGTTATGAGAGAAGATTAAACATAAAAATTATTTGTTTGACGACCATTTTTCGTTATTAAAGTTCACGGTTGCGTGCGTCGACTACATGGAATTGTAAATGACAAGCCCTTTAAAATATCACGTTCTCGCTCACACGCGACGCGATAGCGAGCGGACTTATGCCAGGGTAGATATAATAGATTGTAATTCTGCTTGTTTTCTGATTCTCCTTTCTTTATCTACAAGTCAGTCCGAGTTTACTCTTTACTAACATAAATTCCGCATCCCGACCCAATTACCCTAATTCACGACTTTTAATTTCGGCGAACTTGTTTGATTTGCGTCCGCAAAAAACCCTTCATTCTGATCAGTAATCAAGGTAAACATTCTTCCTTACCCCCATCTAATCCCCTCTCGAATTCGTAAATCCACGATAACTAGGATCGAAACAGCAATGGCGTCGCCTTTCCAGGTGAACTCCAACGCTTTGTTCCTCTGCGGCACCGCCGAGGGAGCCATCGCGGTGGTGGACACCGTCACTGATCTCAATTCCGCTGCCTGCCCCTCCGATCAGTGGAGCATCGTCGCCGCCGCCGCAACCGAAACCTCCACCATCACCTCCCCCATCAGCCCTAATGTACACAATGCGCTAGAAATATTCGGCGCCGTAATTGAGGGCGACAAGCTGAACAACTTGCGCGAAGAGCTCTTCGATTCCCGAGTCTTGGTCAACCGCGACGGCTACCAGGTCAAGTACGTGGACAACCACAACACGCAGAGCGCATCTGCTGCTGGACTTGTGAAGCTCAACGACGTGTTCGGATGGGCCAGGTACGGCGTGAAACGGCCGACGGAAACAGAGGCGGCAGCCGTCCCCACCGTGTGGAACCGCTACGCTGTTGCCGGAGGGGAGGTGGTGGTTGATTACATGGCTAAGGAGGCAAGGCAGAAGGACATGGCGGCGAGGCTGGAAAAACAAGGGAGGGATTTGGAGGACAGTAAAAAGCTTGTGAAGGAGAAGGAAGGCGAGATAGAACGGTTCAGGAAAGCTTTGGAAGAGAAGAACAGAGCAACTAAGGAGCATATCAAGATTATAAGGGAGAAAGAAGGCGAGATCGATCGTCTGAAGTACGCATTGGAAGAGAAGAATGGAAAGATTAAGGAGTATAATGGAGTTATAACGGAGAAGGAAGGAAAGATTGAGGGACAAAGCAGAGTCATAACGGAGAAAGAAGGCAAGATAAATTTGCTAAACAGAGTGATCGAGGAGCAAAGGAGAGTGATAATGGAGAACAAATGCGAGGTGAGTCGGCTTAGCAGAGCGAACGAGGGGAATCGCAGAGTTATAAGAGAGAAGGAAGCGGAGATTGAAAGAGTTAGAAGGGAGAAGGACATGGAGGTTGAGAATTTGAAGTGGAGGAAAGAGCAGGAGAAGAAGAGAATGGCTGATGAGAATAGCAGAGTTGTAGGGCAGAAGGAAGCCAAGATTGAGGAGCAAAAGAGGGTTATGAAGGACAAGGACATGGAGATTGAGAGGCTGAAGCTGATGTTGCAGAAGATGGAACAAGACAAGAAGAAGAATGGTGATATGGTTAAGAAGGCTGATGAGGGTTCGGTTGGGAGCAAGAAGAAGAATGATTTCAATGCAGCTGGATTCGTTTATGAGTTGTTCTAGGCAGAGTGAAGGATTTGTTACGGTAATTTTTGTCATTGCTGATTTCGTTGTTGGATCTTATGGCACGATAGATGTTATCATTCTTAGGTTATTACTTGTTTTCTTCTATTAATTCAATTTCACAAAACAATAGTACATTCTGATTGTTCCAGTGTCTTTTACACAAGCAAACCAGGGAGAAATGTATTATGGGAATTGACATATAGCAAAAAAGAGGGGTGTGGTTGATCAGTTTCTGATACCATCAGCCAACTCTGCTCTCAAATTCTTCCTCAGTATTTTCCCAGATGGTGCCTTCGGAATCGACTCCCTGAAGAACACCTTACTTATTCTCTTGTAGAACACCACCTGAAATCGTTCGACCAAGGCACCATTTAAGCACCTAATTACATACCCTAGAGAACATTATTAACTGTGGAGAAACTTAGTGAATCTTCTTGTTACCTGCTTAGAGACGTACTGCTTGATTGAATCCTCAGTAAGCTCGGATTTATCCGATTTTACAACCAATGCTGCTGGGATTTCCCCGGCTGCCTCATCTTTCAACCTGGAGAACAAGAAAGAATGAGAATCATGAACAAAAAAAGAAACAAGAGAAGCAGGCTGAAGTCAAAATATATTCTTTCTTGTCCAAGTTGTGTATTATTATTACCCGACAACTGCAGCATCAGAAATCTCAGGATGAGCAAGAAGTAAGGCTTCAAGTTCAGCAGGGGCAACCTGGAAGCCTTTGTACTGAATAATCTCCTTCAACCTATCAACAATGAAGAGCTCATCGTCGTCGATGAACCCAATGTCGCCGGTATGGCAGCCACCCTTCTTTGTCTATTGTTCGTGATGTGGATTCAGGGTCATTCAGGTACCCTGATCAAACCAAAAACCACATATACGATTATCAATTCTGTTCTGACAGGAAATGAAGTGGATTTTGCTACAATGCTGATAGGGGCAGCAAACACAGCTGACACAGTCCGATAGTACTTCACTTGGCAATCTCAGCTATTGGATCGAAATATGGCAGCTACATCGATCCAACAGCTTGAGATTATCATGTGACGGCCAATGTATGCACTCCCGAACTTTTCAGCACAGTAACCAAATTGGGGATTGGTGTGTTTTTAGAGAAACTGGTGATTACTAAACTAACTGACTAACTAACCTTTCATGATTTGATGGCCTCGGATGCAGATCTTGCCAGGCTGGTTCCTAGGGAGAGAGGATCCGGTATCAGGGTCGACTATCTTCATCTGTGCATTCCTGACAACGGTTCCACAGGAACCCGGCTTGATCTCGAATGGTTGTTTGGCGAATGCCAGGCACATTGACAGCATCCGTCATTCCATATCCCTGCAGAATCGACCAGGAAAAAAGTGGGTTTAGTCCTGAGAGCTGGATGCTTTTCTCTTCACAGTATCTGGTTCATATACAAGACATTATTAGGCTGTAAAAATGCTGGGGTGTTGTGCAATGAGGGAGCTGACAGATTTGGCAGTAGTGATGAGCAAGTAGTAGTGACTTGAATGTTGGGCGCGGATGGGGAGACTGGCGCCTGCAATCATTAATGATCTTCCACGCTGCCATTTTTTATTTATAAAAATTCCAAGTTGGTCCTCGAGCCCCATGCCTCTCTAGTCTCTACACGTTGAGCCTAATAATTTGCTGCATTGTTTTCTAATCAGCAGCTTCCACACAGCATCTTCTTATATTGATTCTTGATCAAGGTTGTCAACCCGTAAGTCAACCCGATCCTGGTCCGGTGAGAAAAACGCCGCACGTACCTGTCGTGTCGACCACTACAAGGTACCGGATTGAAGGTCAAATTCAAATTGTGTCACTTTTTTTTTTTTTTTTTTTTTGCGAAATGCACCTATTTTTCTTTACGCCTAACTCAATTTTTGGAATCGTACGTTGAACATTTGAATATTGATGTTATATAAGTGTGTGTGTGTGTGAATTTTCACTATATGTTGGATATATGTACAACATGTGATTTTTTAGTAATATTATAAGTTATAACTCATATGTTAGATGAGATTTGATATAATTTATCAGAATAAGTACAATATAATGATTCTTTCAATATTTTCGAGCTAAACCAGACTAAAACGATTGACCCATTAACTCTTGACCCAATAGCTCAACCGAGTCTGGATAAGCCTGTGGGTTGACCCTTGACAACCTTGTTCTTGACACTCAGTATCAGTATAATAGAAAATTGCCAATAGATTACGTCAACCTTGTCGACGACATCTATGGCGTTGGAGGCTACTATTTTGGGTGGAAGCAACTCAAGAAGAACCATTTCTTTCAATCCTTCTACTTCGGCTCAAGGGTTGTTGGCAATTTGGTGCAGGCACAGCTCATCTACTAAATATATAAAGGCAAAACATGAGTTCAATTTTTAGGGATTTGAAATAGGAGGTCTCTGAGGAAATTTCGGATATCCCTTATAGTCATTTCACCTGCATAAATGAAACTGTGCGTTTTTTTATTCTACCACTCAGCTGGTACGGTTGGACATGATTGATATCCATGATGGGCCCGATTGTGAGAAAAAGACACTTCGCCCATTGACCCGTCAGTATATGTCGTTACTTGCTTCTATCACTCAGCTGAGCCGCCATAGATGGATCCACTATGGCCCCATTATGAAATAAGGGCACTTAAGCCCATTGATGGTCAGTTATATAATTACTACTACCTGCTTTATTTTCGTTGATTGAAAGGAGAACCTCAGCTTCAATCGAACCCAATTAGCTACTCAAGGGAAAAAAAACCCAGCTACTGTTGTCTTTCTTTTCATTCCTTTACATGAAATCTACTAAATATATTAAGGCAAAACATGAGTTCAATTTTTAGGGATTTGGAAAAAGGAGGCCTCTGAGAAAATTTCGGATATCCCTTATAGTCGTTTCACCTACATAAATGAAACTGTGTGTTTCTTGATTTTACCACTCAGCTGGTACGATTGGACATGACATCCATGATGATCCCGATTGTGAGAAAAGATACTTAAGCCCATTGACCAGTCAGTATATGTTGTTACTTGCTTCTATCACTCAGCTAGGCCGCCATAGATGGATCCACTATGGCCCCATTCTGAAATAAGGGCACTTAAGCCCATTGATGGTCAGTTATATAATTACTACTACCTGTTTTATTTTCGTTGATTGAAAGGAGAGCCTCAGCTTCAATCGAACCCAATCAACTATTCAAGGCAAAAAAACCTAGCTACTATTGTCTTTCTTTTCATTCCTTTACATGAAATCTACTAAATATATAAAAGCAAAACATGAGTTCAATTTTTAGGGATTTGAAAAAGGAGGCCTTTGAGGAAATTTCGAATATCCCTTATAGTCATTTCACCTACATAAATGAAACTGTATGTTTCTTGATTCTACCACTCGGCTGGTACGGTTGGATATGACATCCATGATGGGCCCGATTGTTAGAAAAAGACACTTAAACCCATTGACTAGTCATTATATATTGTTACTTGCTTCTATCACTCAGATGGGCCGCCATAGATGGATCCACTATGGGCTCATTTTGAAAGAAGGGCACTTAAGCCCATTAATGGTCAGTTATATAATTACTACTACCTGATTTATTTTGGTTGATTGAAAGGAAACCTCAGCTTCAATCGAACCCAATCAGCTACTCAAGGGGGAAAAAACCCAGCTACTGTTGTCTTTCTTTTCATTCCTTTACATGAAATGGCACACATGTTTCGGCGGGGGATTATGGCTTCTTGAGCACCTATTGGTCATTATCAATCTGTAAAAGTTGGATTGGGTCAAACATCCTAGAAAATATGTTATGCACTCAATATTAATTGTTATGGTACTTTCTCTATACGCGAACAAGAATATTGAGATTTTTTTTGTCGTCCTATGTACAATTGTAAAGTTCATTTTATTTTTTATTTTTGTGGGTCGAAATAATGTCTTTTTCTGTCATAACTATGCGAGTAAATTATTTTATTGTCTTTTATGATTAGGGTCGTGCGGTTTTTTATGCTTTGCTATTGTTCGAATCTGAATTTGGCAAGCACATTCTTTACATGACAATAAAAAAGAAATTCCAGTAATATAATTACCTTAGCCAATTTCCATGTTGTGCTCTGACCTTCAGTTCATTCTTTTGAATAATAGATTTGGTTGGTGAAGTTCATCATACGCAACCAATGATTCAACTGTGTGAAGAATTTTTCACGAAAAGTTCAAAAACGTGTTCCTACAACTATTGGAGTTAGTTCTCTCACCTTTCTTCGGACTTAATATTTTGTAGCCATTTTATTGTCTTGTGTCCATCTCACTTGATAACCTCATGTGTATTAGGGCGTTGATCAGAATGGTACTCAAAGACCCTTTTGATTTTTAAACTTAAAGTTGTAATGCCCAATCAACCTCAACTTGTTTTTGTTTATGTACTTACTTCAATATATGTGTAAAATCACATGGTAAGGTAAGCCATACCTAATGGATTTCTACTTTTCACCACTTACATTTTCATTCCACCCTTAATAATATAATCCATCAACTAAGTTTTTTTTGTTTATGTACTTACTTCAATATATGTGTAAAATCACATGGTAAGGTAAGTCATACCTAATGAATTTCTACTTTTCACCACTTACATTTTCATTCCACCCTTATTATAATATAATCCATCAACTAAGTTGTTTCATTGTTGATAGGGAAGTACTACTTGATGTATCCCCTGCGTCTAAAATATATTTCAACTTGAATTATCCTTTATTGCACCCTTTGTTAAATCCGTAAGTGTTTTTTTTTTTTATTCATAGTACACTTATTTACATACTCATGGTGATGGTTGTGTATAATTAACTTAGTTATGTGTCATTTTCTGTATCAAACTCAGGATAATGAAAAATAACACTAAAGAAGACTCTTATGAAGTTCTTAAACAACGTGCAAATATTGGTTCAATTGTAGACTTAAGGGTTCAATTATTTGTACCAATACGCAAACTACTACGAGAGGTTGGATAATCATTTTCCAAAAGTTTAAGGGTGTCCCACTACCACTTTGCTTTTATGCAAACTACTATTAGAGGTTGAATAATCGTGTTTCCAAATTTTAGTGGTGTCACATGCATGTATCCGGCGTTGTCCTTGTCTTAGTGTAACTTTGTAAACCTAGGGCTCGAGCCGTATAAGAGGGATGTAGGTCGTTCGGCCATTGTAACCTTGTCTCAATAATAATATCTCAGTCGGAGAGGCTGTCCTCTCCAGTGGATTAGTCTTGGCAATCAATTGACCGAGGATACCACGTAAAACTTGTGTGTTCTTGTCTACGTGTTCACGATTTGTTATGGTATCAGAGCACCGGTCTTGTTAAATCGTTTGTTGCGTTCCTGATCGATCGTTTTCATCATGTTGTGTATTTCTCATCCAAATATCATCGAAATCATTCATCATGACTTGAAACACACAAAAACCACAAACCAATCGTAAAAGTGGCCAAAACATAGGATTATTGTCGAAATGACCAAAGCAAAGAGGGTTAAAAAGGATCCAATACATGAATCCCACCACACATCAGAATTTTAACACCACCAATCTGGAAAATGAAGATGGGTGGGAGGAGAAAGATCAAGGAACTCCATGATTGCATTATGCTTTATATTTTGGGGTGATTTGTTAATTCGTTAAGATGATTTGGTTTAAAATAACTATGATTGTGGATTGATAACAAGTGTTATGTTTTCGATTTCACATATGTGTGACTATTGTGAGGTGTGTTATTATGTTTTGGTGTCACTAATTATGCTGTTAAGAAGTTATGGATTCCTTCTACTATGATTGTGGATTGAATTTGTGAATTTTTACGGTAGTTTGTTAGATTTCTATAGGTGTATGATATTGTGGGTGCAATAATGACAACCAATCGAAATTTAAAGGTTGACTTAAATAAGCAAAATCTCAAAAAATTGTCATCTCATTTTCTAGTAAGCGTAGATCTTTTATTTATAAAGGTCGCGTGTATAGCCAACACTTATCCTATTCACTTCTCTTAGTTTGAGTGAATTTTTCTTTTGGGTAGACCTTTCCATTTAGATGGTCGACCACTTTGTTGCTATGGTTGACCTCGTTATGGGAATGGTCGACCTGTTATCTTATAATCCCTTAAAACGGTTGACCTTTCCATGTTAGAGGTCGACCGTTGTCTTCCACCAGAATGCCTATATTAGTGTAATCTGTTGGCCTCAGCTTTATACCGACTCACCATAGGCTCACCCTAAATTTTAAAGGTGAGAGAAATTAGTTTCTCATCATCACTTTGATGTTTTGGTCATTGTTTTCATT